CATAGCAAACTTAACTTTATTTAGTCTAAAAATTTGTGGAATTTCTTGAATCGTAAATATAAAACTGTAATCATAAATCATGTAAAAGATTTTATAGTTTAGTAATAAGAAAAATATGAAATTAGTCTAAAATATTGCGTTGTATACTGTCGTTGTGAGTCGTCTTTTATAAAAGTAATATATAAATCTGCTAAAAACAAATTATAGTATGTAAAATAATGAAAAGATATACATATGTATTTTTCTTTTTAAGTAAGTTCAACGCACAAATTTGTACTTTTCCTTTTATTATGTATTTCATAACAATAAAATCGCAAAAATTCACATTTACTAACCACTTACTAACTATCTATAATTGTCTAGTCATCGGATATTTAAAGAATTTACATACATACCGATTATTATAATTTACATATTTACATAGTTAAAATTCAACATGGCAGATGTACCTACTGATGCACCGCAACGTAAGTACACGTGCGACCAAGTACTCGTGATATGTTACGATATATTGAATGAAGTGTTTACGCTAGTTTAGTCGTTAGTAAATACGCGAATTTACGAAATATCCTTGCGATCCTGTTATTATATTCAACATCTAGTGGTCATGTACGAGGTTATGTTTCGTTTTGCACTTTACAATTACAATACGCTGCAACGATTTTAAAGTTCGTATAATATAGATTGAATCAAATTATTTCACAATACAATTAATCAATACTTTTTACACATTCATGTATATTTATATTTGCAAACTTTTTGTATTACGTGTACACTTAAAAATTTTCTTGTGTATGTTTTGAGATTAAAAACATATATAGTAACTTTTTAGATTGTCCTGGNAATAAAATACTTTAAAGAACATTATGAAATTTCAATGTTTTCATTGCGTTTCGATAACCGATATGCGATTTTCATAAATTTCTTCCTTTTTTTGTATAATATTGTAACATTGTAATCAAATAAATAGATAAACATTTCAACGTATTTAAATATACCATGTCTTCAATGCCCCAATTTTTTAAAAGTAGTTTAATGTTTTTTAATATTTTTTTTTTTAAGTTGAGGGTGCTAGATAAAATTTAATTACGATATGGAATCGAGTGAGTAAAAAGAGTTAGAACTAACTATAAAAAAAATTAGAAAGCAGATTTTGCTTTTGATTAACAGAATTATATATTATTATATTATATTTTATTATTATTATATTATTATTATATTATATTATTATATATTATGTATTAATTATATATTATTATTATATATATCTATAAATTCTTCGATGTTACCAGTGATCGCCAAATGTGCGAGTTCCCAATATTTTCGAGACTTCTCGGCAGACCGAACACACTTTATTTTAAACGTGCTTCGGAGCTTTTAAATCATTAATTAAATGCTCATAAATCGATCGTATGATCGTATAACATTTGTCTGAAACATGTCTTTGTATTGTTAATGCTTAAAAAAATAANCATAGCAAACTTAACTTTATTTAGTCTAAAAATTTGTGGAATTTCTTGAATCGTAAATATAAAACTGTAATCATAAATCATGTAAAAGATTTTATAGTTTAGTAATAAGAAAAATATGAAATTAGTCTAAAATATTGCGTTGTATACTGTCGTTGTGAGTCGTCTTTTATAAANCATAGCAAACTTAACTTTATTTAGTCTAAAAATTTGTGGAATTTCTTGAATCGTAAATATAAAACTGTAATCATAAATCATGTAAAAGATTTTATAGTTTAGTAATAAGAAAAATATGAAATTAGTCTAAAATATTGCGTTGTATACTGTCGTTGTGAGTCGTCTTTTATAAAAGTAATATATAAATCTGCTAAAAACAAATTATAGTATGTAAAATAATGAAAAGATATACATATGTATTTTTCTTTTTAAGTAAGTTCAACGCACAAATTTGTACTTTTCCTTTTATTATGTATTTCATAACAATAAAATCGCAAAAATTCACATTTACTAACCACTTACTAACTATCTATAATTGTCTAGTCATCGGATATTTAAAGAATTTACATACATACCGATTATTATAATTTACATATTTACATAGTTAAAATTCAACATGGCAGATGTACCTACTGATGCACCGCAACGTAAGTACACGTGCGACCAAGTACTCGTGATATGTTACGATATATTGAATGAAGTGTTTACGCTAGTTTAGTCGTTAGTAAATACGCGAATTTACGAAATATCCTTGCGATCCTGTTATTATATTCAACATCTAGTGGTCATGTACGAGGTTATGTTTCGTTTTGCACTTTACAATTACAATACGCTGCAACGATTTTAAAGTTCGTATAATATAGATTGAATCAAATTATTTCACAATACAATTAATCAATACTTTTTACACATTCATGTATATTTATATTTGCAAACTTTTTGTATTACGTGTACACTTAAAAATTTTCTTGTGTATGTTTTGAGATTAAAAACATATATAGTAACTTTTTAGATTGTCCTGGTACAACTAGCGAAGATGCTGGTAAAGTGTCTGCATGTGCTGGATGTCCGAATCAAACATTATGTGCATCTGGTGCTACAAAGCAAACTGATCCTGGTATAGCTCTGGTTAAAGCAAGACTTCTCGCTGTCAAAAATAAGATACTCGTATTGTCTGGTAAAGGTGGAGTTGGGAAAAGCACTATAACATCGTTGGTGTCCAGATCTTTAGCAGCAAATAATCCTCAAACAAATGTTTGTATATTTTTCTCTAAATAGCATTTCATACATAGTTGTATTCTTCAATTCTTTAATTTTCCATTAATACTTTAATGTCTAATCAGATATTGTGTATTTGTGTTGTTTTCGTGCATTGTAATCAGTAGTTAAGAAAGGCTTACCCTTTTTCCCACACCAAGAATGTCCATATTGTTTTCTATGTACATTCATGATACCATAGTTACCTTTGGTTGTGGAGGTCGACCATAGTCTATGATGTTACTTCATACATACCTTATACGTTTACTGATATTTAACTAATATCTTTGTAATTATTGGATAGGATCTTTTTTGATGATTTTAAATCTTTTGTTTCTTGTAATTATAACCGTAGTCATGAAAATTCAGAAATATTAAATTGTTTTTTAATACACTGGATAAGTTATCTGATATATTAACTTAAAACCACTCGTATATTTAAACTTGAAAGTTAGGAGAAAAGAATCAAGAAAAAAATATATGAGAATCGAAAAAAAATATGTAATAATATGATTTTTATTGTTTTTCATTTTTATGAAGGTAGGAAGCTCATTTTTAGTTTCTCAAATTGAATTGAATATTTCTTACAGTTAATTATTAAAATATTAATAAAACAAGTTTTATTTCAAGCTGTTTTTGTTCCATCATATTCTTCAAAGGCCGAATTATGAGTAATTTTAAGTCAGGATGTTAGATGACTTATTTTGTAAAAATCACACAGATTTTCTTTTGCTCATATTTTCATGAACAGTTCAAAAGTTTAGATTACACTCTGTTTCAAATACAATAGGTTGCTGTATTGGATATAGACATTTGTGGGCCATCTCAGCCAAGAGTATTGGGTGCAATAGGGGAACAAGTTCACCAAAGTGGATCAGGATGGTCTCCAGTAGTAAATATTTTTTATAAACATAAAATGTTGTCAACGTTCGATATACTATTAATATTACAAATTTTCAGTATATAGAGGACAATTTATCTTTGATGTCCATTGGATTTTTGCTTGCTAGTCCCGATGAAGCAGTAATATGGAGAGGGCCAAAGAAAAATGGTAAATCTTTTGATTTTTTTTCTAATTAAAGACATATTGGCGTTATCTATTTTGTAAACTTCAGGAATGATCAGACAATTTCTATCAGAAGTCGATTGGGGTAGTTTGGACTACCTCATTTTAGACACACCTCCAGGAACATCGGATGAACATTTATCTGCAACATCCTACCTTAAAGAGGCTGGTATAACGGGAGCAGTAATTGTTACAACTCCACAACAAGTTGCTTTATTGGACGTGAGAAAAGAAATCGACTTTTGCCGAAAAGTGAACATTCCAATTTTAGGTGTTATCGAAAATATGAGCATTTTCGTGTGTCCTAAATGTAAAGCAAGTATCAAGGACAATAATATATATCTTTCACGATGATATTGTTTGATTATCCAATAATTTTATGAAATAATTTGTAAATAGGAGTCTACCGAGATATTTCCTGCGTCAACAGGCGGTGGCCGTGCGATGGCCGAAGAATTAAATGTTGATTTCTTTGGTTCTATACCATTAGATCCATTATTAGCCAGGTGCTGTGATGAAGGTAAAAATTTTCTGATCGAAGTTCCAGAGTCACCAACTGTTCTGACATTGCAGACAATTGTACAGAGTGAGTGTTTTACAAAGTTTTTATTTACTTGTATTCAATTTTCTAAAAGTTCAGTGTGGAACTCTTCATTTCAGAAATCGTGGATAAATGTGAAAATAAGAAAGAAAGTTATCAAATCGATTCAACGTGAAAGAACGATACGCTTTTAAATATTAAAAACATAGCTATATGTATATTAAAATTCTGTATAAATGTAATAAATATTGACTTCTGTTTTCGTATATTCCATGATTTTATGTTGTCTCTAATATGTTTGTAATATAATAATTTCATCATTTGTGAAAATATACCATGTTCTGACTTGTGAATTGTCAGATCAATTTATAAATTTAAATATTGTATAACAATTATACAAATTATACAAACTTTATATTGGAATGCATAATATCTGTCAGCGATCATTAACGTGGTTTTTTTTGTAAAATTTTCCGTGATACGCTGTTAGAACTGCAAATCCTTTTTATTCAGTAAAATGTTTTACAAATCAAAACATTTTCCAAGTTTATGAAATATATGATTTTTACAGTATTAACTTTAAGAGTGACTAAATGTTGGAGGTATTTGTAATTTACCGAACATAGAGAAAGATAGCGAGTAAAAAAAGCTAGGGACAAAAGGTCAGGCAGCTGGTACAATTTGAATTTTTTATAGTTATTTAGTCTGTGAATTCCTGTATTCGCGAAAATGTGAAATGTATAAAGTGGAAACTATTTCAATGAAGTTAGATTAGTGTGCTAAAAATAAAATGAGAGTATAGTTAATCTGAAGGGGTGTGCAGTTGATAATTGTTGTGTATTCATTGCGATAGTCACGAGATGCGACATTATATGGGATATAAATACATACCGTCTAACAAAGGATCGTGAGTGAACTAGTGAAAATAAATCAATTGTTTCTTCTATCAGCGAGAGAACTGAAATAACAAATTTTTAAATTTCGTTATTACAATATTCGCGAATTTTGTATGGAGAACAACAAAACAAACAAATTACAAACTGTATTCTATGATATACAGCTTGAAGGTTATAAGATGAGTCAGTTCGTTATTGTTATTTAGGGTAAGTCTAGTGTTTATAAATATAATGAATAAATTGATAATTTTAAAACTTAAGTATATGCTTGCAGTTAGAAAAGTATAATTCATCAAAGATGATTATTAAAGGTGTAAATCACTCAGTTGCTAAGGAAAGTGCTGAGAAATCAAATTCTTCAAAAAACAATCTTTTAACAGAATTTTCGATGACTGATTCACTAATTGATGGTACAGATGAACAGAAGAAACGATATTTAGTAAAAGATACAGGATTGAATTCATATTTAAGATATGTATTGCCATGTGATCTTATCAGATTGACATTGTCTATTATTTTGTGTTGTGCTTTTCTATTGTTTATCACAAAGACTAAATATATTCTTATTGAGAAGTATAGCATAGACATAAATTCTGTTGATGATAATGGAACTGTCTTAGAAGCAGGATTCATGTCAATCGATGTTTCTAATACCATGTTTGGTGAACAAGGATATCAATATGATATATCGTATGTGGAGGAAGTATTTAAAACATCTAAAACTGTACAGGTATGTTGTAAAAGAGAGAATTCTAAATTTCTAAACTAGTCAATAGTAAGTACGGTAACTCTTCTTTTTTTTTAGCAATGTCAAAATATTCCAGAATATTTACGTTTTAATTGTCATCCTGAAAATGGTGCATCAGAATCATCATGTTTAGGCAGAGGTTGTTGCTGGAATCCACAACAAAGCCAAATATCGACTGTTAAACGTGATCCTTTGAGCTTTCCATACTGTTATTATCCGAGGGGTTGGAGTTTATACGAGTACAAAAATTACACTCAAATTGAGAATGATTTCTATGGAATTCTTCAGTTAAAAGGAAATTCTTTTTATAAAAAAGATCTAGCTCTGCTTAAAGTGGAAGCTAGCACAGTAGATGACTCGATTTTACGTATAAAAATAAGCGATTCGTTGAAAAATCGATATGAACCACCGTGGCCAATCAGAACTAATCACAAACCATTTACAAAACAAAACATTGATACAAAATATACACTAGACATCGATAAAATCAAGCCTGGATTCAGAGTAAGAAGAAACTCTGACAATACAGTGCTGTGAGTAATGTGTTTCGAGTGAATTTACATATTGATCGTATACTGATTGTAACAACAAAGGAGTCGTGTATGCTGGTTCACTAAATATTAATGTTTCCTTTTTGTATTCAGATTTGACACGATCGACGTCGGAGGTTTCATATTTGCAGATCAATTTTTACAAATGAGTGCTCTTTTGCCAACACATAACATTTATGGTATTGGCGAACACAGATCGAGTTTAAAATTGAACACATACTGGCAGATTTTTACATTGTTCAACAAGGATCAGCCTCCATCGGAAAATGTATGTTTATACGAATTAATGCAATGTTCTTTTTTATTTTGTTACATAAATGGTATATTTATGAATTCAGGCAAATTTATATGGATCTCACCCTTTTTATTTGATGGTTGAAAATTCTGGGAGAGCTCACGGAGTTTTGATGCTGAACAGTAACGCTATGGGTATCAGGCTTTTGAGAAACATTCTTGTTTATTTTTCGACAATCAGGCTACATATATTGGTTGTATGTAACATAGTTTATTATTTTCAGATATAATATTACAACCATCGCCTGGAATTACTTTTCGAACAATCGGTGGTATTTTCGACATATATTTCTTTCTGGGACCGAGTCCAGCGGATGTAATAAGACAATATTCAGAAATAGTGGGAAAACCATTTATGCCTCCATATTGGTCATTAGGTTTTCACTTATGCAGGTATGCTTGATAATTAGAAATTAGTAAATTCAATCTCGTTTAATGCATATCATGATAATGCAGGTATGGTTACGGAAGTTTAGAAGGAACAAAGAAAGTTTGGAATCGAACCATCGCAGCCGGAATTCCATTTGTAATGTTTACGTTTATTATACATTATATTTGATGCAAAGTATGATGAAACAGTTTTGATCTGTTTAACTGGATTGCATTTTGTTCAGGATACACAATGGAACGATTTGGATTATATGGAAAAAAACAATGATTTCACATACAACTTAGAAAAATTCAAGGATCTACCGAAATTTCTGGAGGAACTTCACTCGGTATGATTCTAATGCGATCGCAACGTTAATACTGAGTGTTCGACATTAGATGTGAAAAGATTTAAGGAATGATTCTTCGTGACAATATAAAACGAAAATTAATGGTAAAAGTTTAATTTTCAAATTATTAACAATTGAAGTACACCAATAATTTTCTGTCTTAATTTCATACTGAATTTCATCTTATATAGTCATACAGAATCACCTTTCCAATTTTCTTCCAGTTATTACTGAATACATACATATGTATAGACTGTTTTAGCATGTGTTATAAGCCCATATTTAAAATTATTAACACTGTTTAATAGACGGAGTTTTTGTTAATTTCCGTGCGCTATGTTCGAGTAAATTTTGGAAAGAATTATTATAGTTATTTATATTTCACAAATAAGTGAATTTTTAAAACATCTGTTTACATACGCGAATTTAAAACTCCATATATAACTCCATATAACTTCGATTTTCAAGTTCTGTACCAAAATTTAAAAAATTGTCCCTCCATATGGTACAGTTTTTTTATAATTGTATTTATTATGTTTACATAGTAGAAATAACTAAAATTGCTTTTTATAATGAAATAATGACTAATAACAAAGTATGACATAAAAACATAGAATGTTTCACGTATACATATTGTATTTTAGAGGGGAATGCATTATATCCCGCTGATCGACGCCGGTATATCTGCCTCGGAAGCCCATGGATCTTATTTACCATACGACGAAGGCATAAAGAAAGGTATATTTGTGAAAGATGAAGAAAGTAAACCATTTATCGGAAAAGTTTGGAATTACGGTTCCACGGCATGGCCTGATTATACAGATCCCAAGACAAGCGAATATTTATTGCACATGATGAGCAATATGCACGAGAATTTTTCATACGACGGAGCATGGATCGTATGTATATCAAACGTTACATTAACATGTTATATATGTTGTATACTGTACATGTTATATACTATTCTTATGGCAATCGTATATACATAATATTTGATTCATCTTTTGCGTTTACTAGGATATGAACGAACCATCAAATTTTTACGATGGTCATAAAAACGGATGCTCGAATAATAATTTGGATAATCCAGTGTATGTACCCAACGTGATAGGCAATAAGCTCGCAACGAAAACACTGTGCATGAATGCTAAACATTATTTGGGATTACACTACGATCTTCATAACACGTATGGTATAAGTCAAGCAATAGCTACGAATAAGTAAGTACCAATGAGATATTGACGATCACATAAATTCGAATCATCTATTTAATGGAAACATGAATTATATGCAGCGCCCTGACCAAGATTCGCAAGAAAAGACCGTTTATTATTTCACGATCGACTTGGGTAGGGCATGGGCATTATGCCGGCCATTGGACTGGGGACGTATTTTCTACATGGTAAATGAATGTAACATACATATAGAATAAGCCTAACTTTGACTGGTGGATCTAATTGACTAGTATATCTAATTTATCAGGCATGATTTGAGAATGAGTATTCCAGAGGTTTTGTCGTTCAGTTTCTATCAAATACCAATGGTTGGTGCGGACATTTGTGGATTTAACTGGAACACTACGGCCTCGCTCTGTAACCGTTGGATGCAGCTTGGCGCATTTTATCCTTTCTCTCGTAATCACAATTCCGACGACACTATAGTTCGTATAATTTCTATATCGAAAATCAATACATACGTGTATAAATATAAGTGTAATTAATATATACATGTTATAATCCGTGTATTTCTTTGTATATTGATACACGGATATATGTCCATCGAAATACACGGATAATAAACGGATACGCGGGTCGTTCATTGTAATGTACAGTTTTCATACGACTAATTTGTGATACACAAAACATCATCTGATAGGCTACAAATTGAACAAACATAATTTCTATTAGTATTCTTCAATCAATTAACTTTCTGTTTTGGTGCGAGAAAAATCTAATGTATTTACATTTTTTAGCAAAAGAACGTTCCTTTTTGCTGTTACAATGTGTGTGTGTTTCACAGATAATACACGTGTATAGAAAATAGCAGGTATCCGAGTATTATCCGTGTGCCTGTGTACAAAGAAGCATGCGGATTAAAACACGCAAATATTAATTACACGTGTATCCTCAATACACGTTCATAATCGTGATTTCTAATATACATTAGAATGTTTGATTCCGTGGTATGTATACAGGGTATCATGTAACTGTTGGTACAACCAGCAAGGGGATGATTCTACGTGCAAAAATAAGTCGAGAAAAGAGAATAAAATTTTTTATTTAAGGCTCCGTTTTCGAGACATACCAATTCTACTTCTCGTCGTACTACAAGTCACGCACACTTGACGCATCTTTCAATTCAGTCTCCTTGAAAACGGAGCCTTAAATGAAAAAATGTTATTCTTTTTTTGACTTATTTTTTGACGTAGAATCAGGCTCTGGATAGAGGGATGGTTGTACCACCAGTTACATGACACCCTGTATATAAGAGTATGTATGATTAGGAACAAGATCCAGTTGCCATGGGTGAGTTAGTCGTACGATCGTCGAAACGCGCCCTCGAGATACGATACCGACTCTTACCTTATTTGTACACGTTGTTCTTCCGAGCGCACAAATTTGGAGACACCGTGGCACGTCCGTTATTTTTCGAGTAAGTATACTTGATACAAAGTGGAGAATTTTTTCAAATTAACTGGTTTTGGTTCAAAGTCCGACTACCTAATGATTTGAAGACGGGTAGAACAGTTTTCGATACAAAAATTGTTATTTTGTTTTCATAATTGCTTGTCATCATCTTGATAAATCACGAAAACAGATATTCATGAAGCTAAACAAATAATGCAGTATTTACTTAAAAAACAGTCTTACTTCTTTTTCATATTGGTATCTTATACGGTTTATTTTAGCTAATCGTTTCTTGTATTTAGAACGTATACTGTCGCAAGGGAAAGATATCAAAAGAAGTATTTGCATTCTAGTAAATATTCGCCGTCTATTTATTTTTGACAGGGAGCAAAGTACTTTTACCTGAAACGAGTTTGATGAAATTATTTATTAAATAGATTGTACGAATAATCTACTGTGTTTGGCCCAGATAATACCACTTCAACGTTATCATTTGAAAAATTCTCCTACAAATTGTATGATCTTTCAGATTTCCGGATGATCCGATCACTGTTGATATCGATACACAATTTCTATGGGGTGCTTCTCTGATGATTGCTCCAGTTTTAGAGGAAGTACGTTTCCATATGTAAAGAATAAAAATTAGCCTCGAGTTCTTAAAAATGTGGTAATGATTGCACGGGTTACGTTTATTTGTTGTCAGAAAGAGTTGAATGTGTCTGCTTACCTTCCGCAAGGAATATGGTATGATTACTACACAAAAGAAGATCTATCCAGTGATGTCGGCCAATGGCGCACGTTGGATGCACCGCTCGACACCATACCGTTAATGATTCGCGGAGGTTCCATTTTACCTGCGCAGAAGCCAGCCTCCACTACAACCGCTAGCAGGAAAAACAATTTCGAGTTGTTGGTCGCATTGGACAAAAACCAAACTGCGAAAGGAGAATTGTATTGGGATGATGGTGACAGTTTAGGTATTGTGATTGTCATATCGAAGTGTAATGTAGCGCTTAATTTCATCCGTCACATATTCTAGTATTTGATGATGAAGAGTTTAAAAACTACTGTTAACATTTGCGATGTTCGCAACTGTGATCGGTATACTTTCGTCTGCTGCCGGTAATTGTCCTTGAGCTGTAAACATTCGCTGACGAATATTTGAACAAAAGTTAAGATATTCATTCGAAATATCGTTTAGCAATATAAAACGAAGTATGCAAAGCACGGTTTTTGAATCACACTAATCAAAATATTTCATTTCTAAAGATTCCAAATGTTTCGGTTGTGCTTGACACTGTATCTCAGATATTTATTGCATGAAAATATGAGACGTTTTCGAAAACTTATTCTGGAAGTGGAACGATTAACTGAATACTCTTTCACGATTCTTGCAGACACGCTCGAGAAGGGACAATTCGTGTGGTTATTGTTCAGCGCAGATGGCAACATCCTCTCTTCCCTTAGACAGGAGAAAAATACATTTATGGAGCCGATGATTCTCGATCAAATACAAATATGGGGTGTTGCGTCGAATGTCACGAATGTTCTGTTGAATGGTCGTGAGATGAAGTACCAGTATAACAGTACAGAAAACGTAAGTCATCTTGTTGCTATGGTTTTCCGTTTCTTTTTATGCGATCAATTTCCCCTAACGCAAGAGATCTCGACGAAAAATGGTTCTGAAATTTTCCAGAGCTTGACTACAAGCAACTTGCGGACCGATCTGAGGAAAGATTTCAAGCTGGAATGGAAATACGATCGATCGCACGAACCGACAATGATCAACGACGATTACGTTACGGTCGTTGCAATCGCCGACGATAATGCTCGTGCCACAATCTTTTGAATCATCGTTCCCCGCGAGATCACGCGAGTCCGTTTTCATTTCTTTTCTACCAGTATAGTATATCGAAACACGAGCCGTTTTTTTTACTTGCAAATGTATATTCGCTAAATCGCATGTATGTTTTCGTACGCGTTCAAATATAAATACATAACATATAAAGAAAAAACATTTTTATTCGAATCACCGTTCTATCGTACAAGAAGTACTACCGCGTAGCGTACACACTGAGCAGTACAACGCAGGACAGTAATATTTATGGCACTAATGGAAAACAATAAATAGAACTTTGAATCTTTCAGATAATGCGTTTAACGAAAATATAGGAGGAAAAATGCACAACGGTTGTTCGCAATTCCTACGCGAGCAACGGTAAATGACAACAAAACGCGCTTCTTCGCGCACGCGTCATTGACAACTTTTTGTTGATCAACAACGTTTCTTTTTTTTCTCTTTGGCACCGTAACTTAAAGATAACACCAGAACGAGACCTTGCCGTCGAAACATCGAAATCTGTGCTTTCAGTTCCGTCGTTTTAGCCTCTCTCTTGCCTCCCCCCTTCCCTCCCCCACTTATTCTCACTCACACTATTTCCTTCTTACCGTCTCCTTCCTCTTTTGAATGCGACCAAATGCACGGTTCCCCTTTGACCTCGATTTTTATTCTATATTCAAAGTCTCGTGACCCCTATTTGCATTTCTACGACAAACGGAAAAGTAGATTTCGATCTTTCGAATAAATTTCAGTGTTCCGCACTGTCGTTCGCGGCAACGGTCGTCCGTCCATCTTCCACGACAGTGTTCCGATCGTTGGAAGTTTCTGTCGAATTCGTTTGATCGCCAACAGAAATGCATACTTTTTTTGGATGCTGGCGAATCGTATTCAACTTATCAAGTGCTTTTCTGTCGAAGGTGTTGTTCGCTCGATGATATTTGGACGGAACGTCCGCTTTCATCATAGAATAGCACCTCGTCCAATTCTCTACGGTATTAAAACACGATCGACGAATCAAAAATATTCGCGTGTTACAATACCAATACAATAGAAAACGCATCGACGCATACTGGTCGTTTCTTTTATCCATTCTGAAACAAACGCATCGCATGGTTATCTTGTAACGTATATTTATATGTGTATAAGCATATATATATATATATATATATATATGTATGTATGTACAATATATATATATGTATATATATAATATATATATATCTTCTTTTCAATGACTAATATATATCAATCTTGTAACCCTCTTCATTATTGTCTGCTCACATTTACTTACACCGCTATCTAAACGACGTCGTCGGGCTTCTTTCGAGCAACGCGTGGCAAGCAGTTCGAACGATAAGTGTGAACGCGTTATAGCAGCGTTCGATAACGAGCAACGATATCAATTACAGGAGGTTAAGACCCTTCGGCATCGAAGTCTCCATGACCGGGGTGACGGTGCGCCGCACCATTCTTTCGCCTCTTCTTGGCCCGCGTTTCCTACACGAGGATTTCGCAACGCTGTCATCGAAACTTCGAAACCGAGAATTGTCCACGACCGTATCGCGTTGCGCCAAAGAAACCGACGGACTTATATCGGCAATAATGATACGCGTACAATCTTTTGATACGCGCTCAAACTTACCGGTACGCGCGCGTACACGCGCGTATCTGCGAATACAAATATAGGACGACGACGTTCTGCGCCGAAAGAATATCTATATATCTATATATCTATAATGTATATGTTCGTTTGCGTTTGCGGATGTGTATACGTATATATCGCGACAGACGAATTGTCATATAGTATGTAGGATCGCGCGTAGCCTCTTTGATTTTGATGAAGGATGATAGCTCGTGAACCTAAGTGAACGTACGTTGAAACGTGCAATTAGAGCGATGCCTCCGAGGGCATCGTAAGTGCGTGCACACTCGCCATGCATTCTACATACATAATATTGTTAACAAATATGGCAAGAAATTTCCGACAGTTCTCCGTGCCTGTTCGAAAAGAACGCAGCTATACAACGCAAATACAGCCCGCTCTCTTGACTTCCGAATTCTCCGGGCGAGCGACGCGCCGACCGTGCGATCTGCTAACATGGAATCGGCGATACAATTGCGCATGGCACTGTGAAGGAAATAAACGTGATCGCGTCACCGAGCGTCGCTAACGAAACGTCGATTCGATCGGGTGGAAAAGATCCTCAAGCACCGAACCGAAGGAGATACATTATTCGCGTTTGCACTTTGGACTAGCATGCGGCAAGGTTAACGTAAAACGAATTTACAGCCTCGAGTTCGGGACATGTCCGAAGAAGAAGAAGAGGAAGAAGAAGAAATGGCAACCGAAACGAAACGAATGGAAATTGTGTGGTCAGTCCGGCTCGGCGACGATTGCCGCCGAACCGATTCTCGTTTAGGTGGCGGTAAGCGTTTCTAAAATGTCTTCGGGAGACTTGTTCAACTTGCAGAAGTTCTCCCAATGTTCTTTGGGCACCGTCCATTTTAGGAATATTTCCAGGTTCGTCGTGAGAGCCTCGAGTTCGGTGAGCCCGTCGCGGCTGACCGGATTCTTGCCGGCGGACAGCAAAGAGTCCCGGAGCACCTCGTCGATCAGCCGTTTGCCGAATCCGAGCTCGTCCAGCCTCTCCTGCTTGCTGATCCTCTTGAGAAGAACGGCCAACAGCAGTCTCATCCTCTCGACGGACATCGTCCTGTACCTGGAAGGCGTCACAGGCGTCGTCGGCGGCGGCAGCGGAGGTTTCTCGACGATCTCGTTAAAGAACGCGTTCGCGCTGGCCGAATTGGCGGCGGCCGGGCTGCTCGGGACCGGCTCGGGATGGCAGGTTTTCTCGTGGCACTCGAGATCGTTCTTGATCCTGAAGAAGCTCTTGCACCGTTTGCAAGCGTACGGCTCGGTGCGCCCGTGGATGCACTTCATGTGCTTTTTCCAGTGGGGCAGCTGGGTGAAGCCGGCGTTGCATTCGGCGCACTTGAACGGTCTCTCGCCGGTGTGCCTTCTGGTGTGCAGCTTGAGGGCCGTCGAGTGCGCGAACGCCTGCCAGCAGACCAAACACCTGAACGGCCTCTGGCCCGAGTGCGTCCGCTGGTGCACGGTCAGCTGAGACTTTTGCGCGAACCTCTGGCCGCATGTGGCGCATCCGTGGGGCCGGTCGCGCGCGTGCGTCCGCATGTGCTGGGGCAGATGACCCTTGAACGTTTTGTTGCAGATCACGCAGAGGAACGACTTCACGTCCCTGTGCAGGCATTCCAGGTGTTTCTTGAGCGCGTCCCGCCGCACGAACGCTCTGCCGCAGATGTCGCACTTGTGATCCTTCTGGCCGTTGTGCCGTTTCACGTGCAGCGACAGATTCGCGGCACAGGTGAACGTGCCGGAGCAGAGGCCGCAACGGTACGGCTTTACCTGGCTGTGGGTGCGCCGATGTTGCACCAACTGACCGCCCCTCGCGAAGGTCTTGTCGCACTCCGAGCATTTGTACGGCTTGAACCCCGTGTGCGTCCTCACGTGGAGCTTCAATCTCTCCTTCAACGGGAACTCTTTGCCGCACTCGTCGCATTTGAAGACCGGCCCCGCGCCGTGCACTATCTTGTAGTGGTTGCGCAGACCCCCGCTGCCTTTGAACCGCGCCTCGCACACCACGCAGCAGTATTTCTTTTCCTCGTTTCCGGTATCGCCGCCGGTTCCTCTTCTCTTCTCGTTACCCGCGTCGTTCGTCGTCGATTTACTCGCGACTTTGTCGCCCGCGACGTCTCGATCCACGACGTCGTTATCGTCGTCCTCGTCGTCGTATTCGTTCTTGCTGGTCGAGGATCCCGCGATGCTGATCTTGTCGGCCAGCATCAACGAGCCCTCGCAGATGTCCTCTACCTTGTCCGAGTTCGAGCGCAGCACGTTGTTATTTTCGCTCTCGAGGAAGTAATTCGCCGCTATGATGGCCTCGATGTTGAAACCGGAGCTTTTCCCGTCCGGATCGAAGCCGCGATCGAACAGCGCGCCGTCGGTGCCCGACGAGTAATCGTCCCCGTAGATACGGTTCGCAGCCTTGTCGCGCATCGGATCGAGCGCCACGTTCAAATCCAACGGGTCCCGACGGAACGCGTAGATCTCGTCGCCGAAATCCTTGCTCTCGTCGAACACCGGATACGCGTCCTCCTCTTGCCCGTACACCGAAAACACGAACGCCTTGTCGTTCCTCTCGTCGTTTCTTTCCACCGGTCGCCGTCTCTGCGACGACGACTCCTCTCCGTTCCCATCGGACTCCTCGCCACCCTCGAAACCCTCGACCGTTCCCTTCCTAGACGAATTCGCGAGCACCACCGAGTCGCCCTTCCTCGCGACGTCCTTCTGCCTTTTCCGAACCGCGACACCCGCGCCTTTCCCTTTCCCATCGTTAGCCGACTTTCCCACCCGCCCGGACCTCTTCCCGTTCTCCCGCTTTCGTCGACGATCTATCCTCTCGTAGGGCGAGAAGTTGCGCAAGTGAAACTGTTGCTCGTTATCGTTAAAGCTCCGAAGCACTTTCAGTGCGTCCGTGGTCGCGTCCGCGGCCCCGTTCGAGTGAACGTCCCCGCTCGTTTTCGCGTCAGCGTCGCAGCCGCCGCCTCCGCCGCCTCCGCCGCCATCGCCGCCAGCTCCGCCTCCTCCGGCACCGGCGCTCGCGGGCCTCGCGAAGATCCCGTTCTGCCTGATCCGCGACTGTTTCACTGGCAACAATTCCGTCAATTGAACCTCCTCCTGCGCCGGTTCAGGCCCGATCGCTCGGCTCGAAACGTCCTCTTGCATATCGACGATCGCCATTCGCGTCTACCGTCCGGCCATTATTCCCGGGAAATCCATGGGAATGTTTCACACGACGCGCATCGACCGACGGAAACCCACAGGCGACCGACAGGAGAGCCGGTCGTCGGCAAAAGCGCGTACAGCCGCGCTCGTAACTCGACCACGGTTGCTTATCGGACCCTTATCTTTTCAACAGAAAAGCCGCCTCCGTCTCTCTCTCTCTCTCTCTTTTCCTCTCTTTCATCGACTGTAACGCGGGCTCGTCTATCGTCCTCGATTCGACGCCGACGGAACCCACGGCTCTACGATATCGATTTTTTTTTATTTACCGTACCGTGCAGATTTATCTCGGATTCAACGTCGCGTTTTCTTTTCGTCGAGATACCAGGAAAATCGCTGCGACACGGCTCGAGCTTCTGGCGGTCGCGTGGCCTCGGTTCGATCGGCAACGTGGCGGCGGGGAGGGTGCGAAAGGTGCCGAGAACAATCGTTTTGTTGCTCCTTCCGACATTGACAGACTTTGAGAGCGGCGCCTTCTATTCCGCGCCTTCACGGCAACGATGTCGACGCACGTCTACCGAAAACCATTTAATCTCCCCTTTGAACATGGCGCTTCGATTCCCGGACGGTTCGTGCACGCGTTCGAATCACCGGGAAAGGGAAGATGGATGGTACCGGAAGTCGAGTATCGGCGTCGGCGTCGGCCACGAACGCGTCTCTCGGTAGGTTAGAACGCGACGTATCTTGCCCAAGGTCGGCTGCCTCGCGGCTGTCCTCGTCGAAGAAACGATCGCGGATTCGAGGGTGGTGGTGGTGGCGGCGGCGCGTGTTCGCTCGCTAATCCGCCCGACCGGCGCCCGGCCGCCCGAGGGAATCGGTTGTCGTCGGATCGAAGCGAAACGGAACCTAATGGAATGAAACTGAACGGAACGCAACGCAACGAAACGAAGTTTCTCGACGCTCGGAGCTCGGCGCCCGTCGCCGCGACGATCGACCGACTGCGAGAGCTTCTTCCTCGCGACGGCACGTCGCTTCCTCGACAGCGATTGCGCGCCTTTTTCCACGCAAGCGCAATTCGCGGTCGATATCGGTCTGATTTTCTACTACCCTTCTCGCCACCCCTCTCGCCGGCGTCCGTCTCGCCGCCCCCGCGCGAGTTTCCTCTTGGTGCACCCCTTCCGTTCTACCAAACGCTCGCCCCGGTTTCCCGTCTTTCTCCGCTGCTGACTCGCTTTCGCTGGCCCCTTGCTCCTGTCCCGTCGACCATCATCGTTTCCTCCCTTCGTTCGTCCTATAACGACTACCTTTCGTCTCGCCACCCCGATTTCCGAGGATCGAGCCACTCGCGTGCACACCGTAGTATTCCTCCGCAACTGTTTCGCAGTCTCTCGCGGAACGTCCAACGCCCGGCGCGCGACAATTGGATCGAATACGTCGACGCTGGCCAGCAGCGCGCATCGATGTTACCAGCCACGGCAGCGATTCGAACAAGCCCGTCGCATGGCGCTTCGCTCATGCGACCCGATAAGCCGCTTCGATCGCCAATTTCGAAGTCGTCTCGCCGCAAAATTCTGTGGGCTCGCTGTCTCGCTCTCGCTTACAATTATTAATCCCTAAAGCTATCCGTTCGTCGAACAGAACCTCCGGCACGAACGCATTTCTCTTACTCGAACATGGACTCTTTGGCAATGGCATTCCCTTTGGTAATTTCGATGCGGTGGAAACGCGATCTCAGAGTTTGCTGTTTGCGCGCAGCAACGCTTCTTCGGCAACGCGATTTCGAGACGCGTCCCGAGACGGCGCGAATGAAATACAGCGCGAGGAGATTCGTCGGACGATTTGTGCTCGCTTATCGCGGTTCTATGTCTCTACGCTTCCACTTTCGAGACGAGTTTCGTAGTCGATCGTATAATCTCGCCTTATCTCAGCCCGCGTCATAATATTTCCGCTTTGAAAAGTCGGTTTCTTTCCTGACTAGATTGCGTTCGGGAACGCGAACGCGAACGGGAACGAGAGCGAGAACGAAACTGAGAACGTGAACGTGAACACGAACGATTTCCGGCCGTCCCCGGCCTCATGGCCGGCAGTCTCTCTCCCGATAATAATACGCGGCATCTAACGACAGCGCGAATCTTTCTCTCGCCTGAATTAGTAAGCTGTGTTAGTAGCTTTTAGCCTTCCCCCTCTGCGAATCGCCCTCTCGATTAGTGAAAAGCCAAGAACCCGCCACCATCTGAAAGAAACGAGAAACACCGATGGCATTTCTTTCAAGATCTCTTCTTATCGTATCGCCTACGCGACGACGATGTGCGCCACTCGCTTCTGATCGTTCCCAGCGAGCCGACCGACGCTCGCGACGTCCGCGACGCGGCCGTCGTCGTCGAGACGCTTTTTTTTTCTTTTTTTTTTCTTTCGAAAATCGAAAGACGGTTGATGATGGGCCGTGCACCGTGCTCGTCGTTTCATCGATCAATTAACCCCCCCTCCCCGTTCGGCCGCGCTTACCGCGAAACAAACCCCTGGGGATTGTATCGGTACGTAGCAATAATTTGCTCGCGTTCGCAACCCAGCCCGTTCCCGGCTCTCAGCGCCGCGCTAGTCGGCGCAGACATCGATCGTTTCCAAGCATTTTCGCAGCGCACAGTGGGCTGGATTTCATTTTTTTCTTTTTTTTTCAAGAATTCTACGCGCTCCTCTCGTACGCGTCAAACAAAACCGATAATGCGGCGACAGAAAGCGAAAAACAACTTTGAGGATACGAAGTTTTATAAGAACGACTTTTAGTTTTATCATTGGATGGTCTCACTATGACAGATTCGTTTGCTTTCGATTTTGATTACTTGCGAATTGAACATTTTCTTCGCTTCCCATTGGCCTACGGAAGACATCTGTGATAATGTTGAATTTTGAATTTGATATTACGTGAAGAAAATTTTCAAAAAATAAAGCGAAATCACTCGTTAACTATTAGGTTTAAGGCTAATAAAGATCGATATCTTTTTACTCATAATTCAATATTCTTCCATATTTTGATAGAGAAAATATAGTATTCTATTTCAGAAAAGAAAGTTGACCTTCAAATCTCCGAAACGCTTGCACCTATAAGAAAATATAAATGCACTACATGGTATGCTCGTTTAAACCACGCTACTTTTGTGTATAACATCTTATCCACAAGTTGCGTGGATCATACTGTAGATAAACGGATACGAAAACCGCAATCCGCATCTATTTACCGATTTTAATTCATTCCTAACACATTTTTTTCAATCTCCAGTTCTTTTTATATAATTTATTGTAATTTTTATACACAATAAATGATCTGTTAAAATAATCTAATGATTTGTATTTTCTACTCTTACACTATACAAGACATTTAAAATAATTAATATCGATATGTTGTAAGTTGTACGAGAAAAAGGTTTCGAACAAAATTTGCATGATTTCCTGGGAGACATACAGTGCCGTAATCAGTTTTCTATTACTTTGCCTTTTTATCGATGTATGTATATCGATATATATAGGCAAAGTAATAGAAACTATATATATATATGAATCATCCTCAGCTTTTTAAATGGAGTGTCTAATATTTTTTCTCGAAATCGTATAAGTTACGAAATTTGACGTAAAAGACATTTCATGTTGATGATTTCTAGCTTCTAACAGGGGACATGTTTACAAACATGACCTGCCGTCGTAAACAAAGTCACGTTACGAATTGTCATGTAGCGTATTTCCTAATAGAAGATTATTAATTTGAAAATATCTTAGTAATTATCCATTTTATGTCTCGCTTTGTATAATACTATTTTATAAAACGTATTAGACATTCTATTTAGAAAACTGAAGGTGATTCTTATATCTCGATAAAAAAGCTAAGTAACAAAAAAATAGTTTACGGTACTGTATGTCCTCCAGAAAAGCAGGCAATTTTTATTCGAAATTTTATATCTTACGAGTTATTTGAAATAGTCATGTCGCAAGACTCACCCTGTATATTAATTTTGAATATATATGTAATTCTAAAAAAAATGAGAAGAATTAGTCCTTTGAAAATGAACCATTTTACTCAGTAGATACTCTTCTTACGTAACTGTAGATATTATACCTGATTAGTTTTTAACATAAGCAAGAATTTGATTTCTCCAACAAAAATTATATCGAGCCCACTGCGCAGTGCGCGAAATCTGGTATAACGCAATAATATAACATAATTCTTTGAATTGAAATTTTTCTTATATCTTGTCTTCGTCCTCATTGTGATGATCGCGATACGCTGCAAACGTTAAAATTATTTTCATAATTTCATATTTTCGAGTAAATAGAAGTTATAGATGATATGCGAATTCAGCTAATTATTTGATGCTGCTAATAGAAATCGATGGCGAAAATTCGAAATTGAAGCTAATTAATCGATTTACGCGGTTGCGAGTATTTTCGTTCGCTGTGTATAGAAAGAGTACATGATGGAAGAAAAAAGAACGTGCACACACGCGTGTACACTGCACACGCTCTCTCTCTCTCTCTCTCTCTCTCTGACGCTTGTGGTTGAATTTTATCGCGACGACGACACACGACGAAACACGACGACACACGACGAGACGAGACGCGACGAAACGAAACGAAACACGGACATGTGCGCATTGAACTTCCCAGTCTTGAAAGAGATGGCTCGTAAGCGTTGCGAGATTTCATCGGTCGAGGCAGTGCGAATTTCCCGCCAGTCCGAAATCGCCCGTCCGACTTGAGCACCGAACGAGGACGTGTTCTCCGTGGAGTTTCGCACATCGACGACAGTTCTACTTACCAGAAACGGAATGGCTCGGGATTTCAGCTATCACGACGAGGAAGAAGCTTGCTCGCGAAGCGTCCACTCAACCCTACCCCCGTATCGCCATCTTCGAACCATGTTCGACTCTGCCGATGAAACCGACGAATCGATTAGAGAGCCGAAATGGGACCTCAACAAATCATCGTGTCATCCAGTTCTAACAGATGGCGCGAGATACGCCAACTGAATCGAACGATGCATGATTTTCAAGTTCGCTTAAGAGTTTAGTGTGGCGAACTTACGGTTTATACTCGAAAGTAAACCGTGTTAGTAAGTTTATATTTACCGAAAATTCAGAACGTCTAAATTTAGGCTTCACCGTTTAATACTCGTCGTGTTCGCGACAATTATTTTGATGTATTCGAGAGATATTTTTCAGCGAGCATAAATACCCTCAATCGGTAAGGTAAGTCCCTTTGTGAAACTATTCTCAGCCACGCCCGAACGATTGGTTCACACCGGTACCAGACGGTACCTCATCTATGAATTATATATTTGTGGTGATACGCGTTCAAGAAAGAGTTAATGAATTAACGCGTGCGCGTTATATCATCGTTGTATACTACCGGAAAATGCGTGTCTTTCCGGTCGTGAATCAGCTTAAATTGACCGTACGCAATTTTTTATTGTTGGTCAAGAAAATCGAGCCACTCGACATGAAGCGCAACGATTACTTTCTTGTTATCTGTCACGATTCGCGCGTGGTAGGTATCGCAGAGATTTCAATGCTATTGCGACCACGTTCTTTATCAACGTTCAACGTCCGCTGCCATTGTTCCCAAGAACCATTAAATTGCTCGCTGATTAAATGTGCCAAGTCAGTGATTTCGATGTTCTTGAAAATGCAACGCGCGTATTACAATTTCAAATGACCGTCGCGATGCGATGGTATACGACTTACTTTTGTATTTTCATTACTTGTTCATGACCTTTTCTCAAAAGGTGGTTCTGCTTTTGTAAACCGTGTACACATAAAACGAATCCAGATAGTGATTTGTCAGTTGCAACGAAATTATAAATCGATAAAGGAAAGGGCATAATGATTGCTTTGCTATGCTGTTAACTTAACTTACGTTTCCGATAGCGAAGTGGAGAAATGTAAAAATAATTACGAAGAAAAGTCTTGTGACACATGATCGTAACCTGTAAGCGAAGATTTCGAAACGCGACTCAAGAAGACGCCATATTGCCGCGCGAGCCGAGCAGCGACGGAAACGGACGAAGTTGGAATCGAGGAGCCGACGAGGTCGAGCTTGGAAACGCGAGTGTCAGTGCGGACGGTACGGAGAGCGCGATCGAGTCTAAGCGTGTTCGTTCGGATTTAACTGGTCGCGGTAAAGTTTTCCTCGGCTGTCATTCGGCGCAGCTCTCTCTCTCTCTCTCTTTCCTTCTGTCTGTCCGTCTCTCGCTATCTCGATTCGAGCCGTGACAACGTGGTTAGTGGTCGCTCGTGTTCGATTCACTGTTCGAGAGTGACGCGGTTGCCAATATATCGCGTCTCCACTTCTCGCGTTCGCTTTTCTCTTCTTGTGGTCAGTCTGCTCCCGTGTTTATCTCTAGGTTGCCGAGTCTCTCCGTCGGATCTGTTCTGTACCGTTCCGTTCGGGTGTGCGGTACGCTCGATACTGGCGCGCGTTCTCTATCGCGTACGACCACGTCGACGTCGACGTCGACGACACCGCCGACGCTGACCGCTGACGTTTTGTTTTCGATCGGCCGTGCCGTGTGTGTTTGCCACCAGTTGCGTGTTGCGCAACTACGGTTTTACGACAGCCAGCTCCTCTCGTGCCGGCGTGCTATTCGGGTTCGATAATCGACACTGGACATCGCATCCCTTTTCCAACCTGACAGTTCTTTCGATTCTTGCGATCGACTCGACAACGCGGGTGAGTACGCTCTGTTCTTGGATTGCATGGAAGTCGATGTCGCCCTCGCATTAACTTCGATGTATCGAACGGCCGTACGTGCTGCTCGCGGCAATATTTGAACGATATCGAACGATGCTCGCGAGAGTTCCGTCCGATCGTAGGAATCGCTTGGCGGCAGTTTATTACGATTTAGGTTTATCGATCGACCAAACGAATTCACCGTGATCTTTGCGATTTTAATGGTTTTTATTCGCTGGTGTCTCGAGAAGCGATAACTCTTCGGAGTTTTCCTGTTTTATTCCACAGTTGCGGTATGCATAATCTTCAAGGAAAATTCTGTATTCGTCTGTGCGTAAAAAAAGATCAAAGTCGCGTCGTTGTACAACTTGCAGAATTTACTACGACGCGCACGATCCGATCCGATCCGATCCGGAGTAAAGGGAACCGTCGCGTCTCGTCGCCTCGCCTCGCCTCGCCTCGCCCCGTCTCGCTCCGCCCCGCTCTGTCTTGCCTTGCCTCGCCGCCCCATCACCTCCCATTGCATCGTGTTTCTTCGCATCGTTCGCGTCACTCTACATAGCAAAGCTGCTTGAATATGTATCGCGTTCCCTCATCGGCACGAAATTATTCGTCGCATAACCTTTCGCTTTTCCTACTATTCCGCAGCACGTTATCGACGTTCGATCTAGAGCTGTAAAAATTCAAATGTTCGAACACATCGGAAAGTTCGAACCGCTTCCAGTTCCTCCTCCGTCCTGCCGTAACGTTTTCAGTAGCGCTATCAGACGATCGAGACGATACAAGAAAATGAGATAGTTATTTGACATATGCATCATTTTAAATCTTGAATTATAATGGCTGTTTTCAATTCGTTTCGTGATCATTTTAATAAAACCGGAATTGAAGTACATTTATTGAACAATATAAAATGTTACTTGCATCGACATTTTACCGAGTCTGCAATTAATTTTGATCTCATTGAAAAAATTTCATCTCGTTCTATGTGAACAACATAATTGCATCAAGTTCATAAACGTGAATAATTTCTGGGAGTCTACAGTCTTCTTCACCTCTTTTAACACCTTCGGCTGTCACTACTACATCTCGTTCAAATAAAATTAGTATTATTATTATTATTATAAACAGATAAATAAGCTCGTTAGTATGTACGAGATAAACTGATGTGTTACAGTTTTAGCTAAAGTCATAATAGCTGTCCACTCCATTCCTATCACATTAGCTGTCTTCTTTCAAAAACAGATCATACGGTAAATATTTATTATTACCTTTGTGCCGTGAATTTCTTTATTTCCCCCAGTATTTTAAAAAGAGCCCTTTAATCACTAAATTAAGGAATCAATCTCGGAGAGCTCGTAAAAATTAATTGATCAATTAATTGATTGGTTTGGTTTGGGTCCGGCCATGAGCGGCGATCTCTTGCAGACTCAACGCGTCCATAATACACGTATAGACGGAGTCAATGTGTTAGTACCAACAATTTTTGCATATAATCTCGAAAACTGAGACCGAACGACAATTATCGTTCAGATAAAAGTTGTTCAGAATCTCGTCCCGTATAATATACTTCAGTATTATCGAGAACGCTCCGCGCATTCTATAAAGTTTTTAAATTTTTTGTCAAAAAAGTAGCAAAAATACATTACTTTTTCATCCTCCAACGATCCATATCTCTTTCCAAGGTTAAAATACAGCCTTTTATGAAAAATAAAATGTAAAGAATAAACAGACTTAGAGCAACGCCGTTAAAGTAAATATTTACCGATCGTAAATTACAATTGAACCTTACACAATTTACCTAAGTTAGCTGTAAACTGTGTTCATTTTGTTCATACCGAAGATTTGATTTAGTCGTTTAAAATAATCATAATAAAATCGCAATAATAATAATTTAACCAACAAATCGTAGTGTACGTGGCTAGGTTCCGCGATGCGCGAACCAAACGTAACGGACCTGGTTAAACGGAGCCGGTTTCTCTTTCTCCCCACCCACTTTCCACCCTCTTGTTCTTTATTTTCTCGCGGAGCGGTAACTCGTAGTAGTTTGACAGTTAATTAACGTTCATCGAATCGATTCTATGCCGGACTATAGTGTAATTAAGCTTTTTTTCTCTCGAACAGTCCACTCGATATCCCGGAGAAGTTTTTCGAAACTTTTCGATGTTTATGCACGGACGAGCACGCAGCCTGGTCCGACCGATTCCGGTGCCGATACACACCGACGAACGAAGATCACCGTTGTTTTCCACGATCCGACTCTTAACAACGGTCGAAATGCTTTCGCAGTTGAGAATCACTGTTTTCCCAAGAGTTTCATTAATCTGACCGCGCCTGGAGCCGTGTCCTGTATCTTGGCAACGTGTGCACCGTATCGCGCGTTTCGTTGGCATCGTGTGTACGTGCATTTAGATAGGCGCACGGGTATATACCTATAAGCGCGTTCCACCGATGCGCAACCACAGAGGGCTCTCGCCTTTGCGCGTATCGTACGCGAGATCGTACGCGCCTCTTTTATTTCGTCGCGTTTCTTTTCGTTGCGCCCACTGCTTCTTACCTGCGCCTTTTTTCGCGATCTCTGGTCGTTTGATCCGGCACTTCACCATTGTTGCCCTTCTATTCTATACGAGCTTCGTGCAGGATTCTCGTTTGTCCTAAGAAAAGCGACTTATTGAGACTTTATAAGGGTTTCCTAATCGGTTGTTCAGTTTTCGAATCGCATGGCTGTTGCCTGATTCGAACGAGTCGCGATATAGAAGGCGAAATCTAAGCTCGATCAACAAACCGAATGGATCTCGAATCAGTTCGAAGGGTTCTTTAACGAACGATGAGAGGAGGAGGGAGGCGGGAGTAAGAAGGAACGGGATGAGGAAGGTCGGTACACGGGCCTCTCGACGCTCGGAACTCTCGAGTCACGGACTTAACCGAGTTAAGACGCTCTTAAGGCTAGCTGAGGGTGTTAACCTTTTGCTCTGCCGTTGGCTCACCTGCGATAACCACTCGCCAATCAACGATACACCATCATTTTTCATAATGTTTCGATTTCCTGCGCCTGTCAGCCTCGCTCTTTGCCGCGCAGCTACTATTCGATTTCCTGACTTGGTTCCTTCGATCGCGGTCGGGAATCGAACGCGATAGTTCGGCGAACATGCAGCGCACCTATTAGCAACAGGCTCGCCGGACACTAAGAACTGACTTACGTATTTTGTTACTGTCTTGTCAAAATAACAACATTCCATTTATTCGCGTCTTTCGCGATATTTTTTTTTTATAATTATTGACTTTCTCGCAACAGCATACTTTCAGTCTTAATACTATACAAAAGCTAATAATAACGTTGTTTCGACGGCTCTCTGATAGTTAAGACACATCGAGAATGTTACATGTTCCAGAAATAAGTTTTTTATAACCTATATCCTGTTCAACCTAAAGATTAGAACTTGGTATCGAACATTTAAAGTTTTTAATTTTGATTTCATTAGATAAATTGCGTTGATTTTGTAGAATTTTTGAAGTTGCTGAGGTCGGAGGCCTGTAAATCACTTCAGATTCTGCGCACTTTTGTTGCTCAAATACGCAATTAAATACTCCGAAGTGTATAGAAAACTATAATAAAAGAAAACATTTTTTAATTAATTTAAATACAGATATTATTTCTCGCAAAGAACATTTTGACGGATAGGAAACGTGTCGGATAATATGAATACTTGTTAATTATTTGTCCGATCGGTATTAAAAATCTATCTTTTGCAGCTTCATTCATTATTAAATAATAGATTCTCCTTTCCTCAGACTTCATGCGCTTTTCTCATTAATTTTTTATATGGTATAATATCAAGGACATAAAGAAAATTTTGTTACCACTGAACATTTTTAACGCTAGACATACCGAGCAGGTAAAAATATGTTATTCATAATTACGTACTTGCTTTACGATTATCAGAACTGTGGGAGTTACTTCCGGCACGCGCCAGCATACATAGATATCTTTCCACAACTATTTGATCTGTCACCAATTTGTACATATACCATCCTTAACCGTTCTTCCGATATTCTTACCGATGGATGAGTCCTCAAGCGGAACCAGGACGAAACGCTCCCTTTCTTTTCCTTCACATTTCAACACTTTCCCCGGAATCATGAAATTTCTTTAAAAAAAAAAGAAATTATTGGAACATTCAATTTTATCGTAACGACGTTATATACATATACAATTAACCCTTTGCACTCGAATGGCGACTCCGAGGCGCCACTAAAATTTGGTATACTATTTTTCAAAATCATTCTAAGAGCATCAGACATTTTTATACTTAAAAAAAAACTATTAAAATTGCATTGTACTTGCCAATAGGCTCAATTTCATACGCATGAATCGCAATAAATTATATAAAATAGAAATACTGTAGATCCTGTCTCTTATACACATCTAGATGTGTATAAGAGACAGTTCTAAGAGCATCAGACATTTTTATACTTAAAAAAAAACTATTAAAATTGCATTGTACTTGCCAATAGGCTCAATTTCATACGCATGAATCGCAATAAATTATATAAAATAGAAATACTGTAGATCCTGTCTCTTATACACATCTAGATGTGTATAAGAGACAGTTCTAAGAGCATCAGACATTTTTATACTTAAAAAAAAACTATTAAAATTGCATTGTACTTGCCAATAGGCTCAATTTCATACGCATGAATCGCAATAAATTATATAAAATAGAAATACTGTAGATCCTGTCTCTTATACACATCTAGATGTGTATAAGAGACAGTTCTAAGAGCATCAGACATTTTTATACTTAAAAAAAAACTATTAAAATTGCATTGTACTTGCCAATAGGCTCAATTTCATACGCATGAATCGCAATAAATTATATAAAATAGAAATACTGTAGATCCTGTCTCTTATACACATCTAGATGTGTATAAGAGACAGTTCTAAGAGCATCAGACATTTTTATACTTAAAAAAAAACTATTAAAATTGCATTGTACTTGCCAATAGGCTCAATTTCATACGCATGAATCGCAATAAATTATATAAAATAGAAATACTGTAGATCCTGTCTCTTATACACATCTAGATGTGTATAAGAGACAGTTCTAAGAGCATCAGACATTTTTATACTTAAAAAAAAACTATTAAAATTGCATTGTACTTGCCAATAGGCTCAATTTCATACGCATGAATCGCAATAAATTATATAAAATAGAAATACTGTAGATCCTGTCTCTTATACACATCTAGATGTGTATAAGAGACAGTTCTAAGAGCATCAGACATTTTTATACTTAAAAAAAAACTATTAAAATTGCATTGTACTTGCCAATAGGCTCAATTTCATACGCATGAATCGCAATAAATTATATAAAATAGAAATACTGTAGATCCTGTCTCTTATACACATCTAGATGTGTATAAGAGACAGTTCTAAGAGCATCAGACATTTTTATACTTAAAAAAAAACTATTAAAATTGCATTGTACTTGCCAATAGGCTCAATTTCATACGCATGAATCGCAATAAATTATATAAAATAGAAATACTGTAGATCCTGTCTCTTATACACATCTAGATGTGTATAAGAGACAGTTCTAAGAGCATCAGACATTTTTATACTTAAAAAAAAACTATTAAAATTGCATTGTACTTGCCAATAGGCTCAATTTCATACGCATGAATCGCAATAAATTATATAAAATAGAAATACTGTAGATCAGAAATCATGTTTTGCATTTCGAATTCAAATAGCTTCGACTGCAAAGGGTTAATTAAAAGCCTAATAAATGTCCATTGTGTTATGTTAAATTGTAGCTAAGAGAAATCGATAGATTTTCTATTCTACACATTCTATTTAAAAAAAGAAAATGCTCTAACAAGTATGTAACAGTTTGATGTACCAGTGGCTTATCGTGGTGTTATTTTTCGGTCGTTACGTAGTTACCGGTAGGCTCCCCGTGCACCAGTGAACTCTAAAGGGTTCAAGCGGTGCCGCGGAAACTAGATCCGCGTAGCCAAACGTAACCGCCATGCGATTACGTTTTAGGCGTACATGCGCGCGCGGTTGTGCTAGTGGTATAATGTTTTTCCCGTATACATCCGAAGCGATGCGATATCACATGGGCACGTTCGCGCGCGCGCTCGCGCGAGCGCAAGGGCGACCCCGCTTGCACGGAGAAGGTAAGATGCGCCGAGGTCTGGCAACTGGACTCCCCTTGGGGCCCGTATAAATCACAAACTCCGATACAAGCCTGGCCTGAAGCGGCGCAATAGAAATTTAGATGCACTCGGTGTTCCCGAAATAGTTTCCTCCCGAAGAAGTTCACGGAGTCGGTAATCGTTCCGCGATATCGTGATAAGTTCCGGCATCCCCGCTCTTATCTCACGATCTTCCCCCGATGATCATACTTGTGCTACTATTCCGGTGCCAACCGAGAAAACGTGTGCGACGACGCGCGCGGTTCGTCCGAGAAGCGGCGCGGCGAGAGGTCGGTGCGAGCGTTCCGCCCGTCTCAGGACGCGTACCGGTATTTTTTTTCTTTTCGTCATTTCGTGACGACTTTCGATTTCAATCTCGGCCGTGAGGCGCACGCATGCGTTCGCGCGAAAGTGGCCGCGTGAGCGAAATCGGAAGTGTGGAGGGGCGAGGGACGGCCGGGGTTAGAGCGGAAGGGGAGAGAAGCAGAAGAAAAAGGGAAAAGGAAAGGGGACCCGGAAGGGCGACTCATCTTCCGCGAATCGACCGGGCCACTGACTGCTCGCGCGTTGCATAACGATTCCGTCTTGTCTCGTCTCCGCCGGGAGAGACGCCGCTTGAGAACCACTGGTCCATGTACCGGTTGTTCCACTCGTGGAATGCGGACTAGCTCGTCGCGTACGTGTACGGGCACGAGTACGGCTACGTGCACGTGCACGTGCACACACCGCGCGTCCTATCCCCGTGTTCCTTCTACCTACACGAGCGCATCCTGCAAGCTGCACGCGTGTGCGAATCGTGGCATCGCTCGCGCGCGCGCGCGATTCTTCTTCCCTCGAGCGATTGCCGCGAATTTCCGATTACGCCCGTTATCGTTTTTGCAACTGTATCGAAGCTCGAAAATCCTCTACGTCGTATACTCGTGTAATGCCTTTCCGCGGTGACGACGTACGTCCCGAAATTTACGAGTTCCCGATCGAGAGCCGTCCGCGTATCAGAAGACATAACCTTAAAGCGGCTCGCGTGATTACGCTCATAAACAATCGAAGGAAGTCGTACCCCATAAATATGCAGAGAGCCCGTCGCTCGGTTGCAAGCTCGGCGAGCCACTGTATGCAAATTCGGTTCACCGATTGTGCAGTTATTTTGCATGAGAGTGCGCGCGGTATATTTGTTTTTTGTTTTTTTTGTTTCGTTCCTTTTCCCCTTTTTCTTCGAAACAGAATGGGATGGGACGCGGCGCGTCGCTGTCGAATGTTTAATGGAAGAAAGGTGGAGGAAAGGCGCGCTGAGAAATTACGCGTCGCCAGGTGCCGTTCGCGGGTCGTGTGGACGGAACATAAAGCGACTAATCGCGTTGTATAAGTTGACAGGTTGAAAAGCAACGAAAATAAACGGCGAGCGACCGATCCGAATCGGCCTCGCGATTCCGAAATTTTATGCGCGCAGCTGGCTGATCGTATCCATGTCTGTGTATCGCATCGGTTTCGTCGATTTCGAAGAAATTAAACGAAAGTCTCCGCCGCTCCGAAATCGAAACGGCTCGGAATTAACCCCTTGCCGTACTTTGACGAGTCCGACTCGTCATGAAAATTTCTATTATTAACTCATTGAGCATAGATGTTATTTTGTCCTTTAAAATTGCAATAAAATTCTATTCTTTTGTCGTCAATATTTAAGCATTCAGGTAAATTTAAGCGCACAATAAGCCTTAATTTCTTTTTAGAGTTTCTTTTCTTATTAGAATCGAAAAATTTCTAATCGCAGTAACTGCGAAGAGAATGGTATGTCAAGGGGTTAATCGCCCCCGAAATCGTTTCGGATCCGTAATTAGACTCCCTTTTTTCATGATGCGCTTGTGTGTCTGTTGCAGGTCGCTGTTGGCTCGGTGGAGCAAGGTGGTCTCGACCCGTCAGGAGGAATCGTTTGAAAATGGCGGCGGGAACGTGTCGATCGGCCTGAAGAGACAATCGTAAAGACGCAAGGTAAGGAGCCTGTCCTCGCTCGATATTTCGACGTGCCGGGACGGGGGACGCGGGATAACCCTTTGAGAACGTCTGGTGCGTGTTCGATCCGCGAAAGGCGGGATAAACGCGTTAAATAGAGACCGTAACGGTGCTTGCCACCGTACTCTCGACGAAGCACCGTTCTCCGAACTTTGTGGCTCGTAACTTTCGAGCCGGCTAGCATCGGTAAGCCCTTCGCGATCGACACTGGCTCGGTTTATCGGGCTGCAGTAACTTACGCGTCACCCGTTATCTGACCGTGCATATTATGCACGTTATCGTCTCCCGCTCGCGCGCGCTCTCTCTCTCTCTCTCTCTCTCTCTCTCTCTCTCTCTCTCTCTCTCTCTCTCTCTCTCTCTCCTGTCCGTTTCGACGAGGGAAAAGTCATAAATTTAATAGCCCTGTACCCTATTCGGTCCCGGACCCGGTCCCGCTCCCGGCTTTTATTCTGTGTAACCACGGCAATTTTAGCCTCGATTTCGAATTAAGGTTTCATTTGATTAATCGTTTCGCCGTTAGTTTTCTATTATTTTTCGCCCTATTAACCCTTCGCACTCGAATAGTGGACTCTGAGGCACCACTAAAAATTGTTATATCACGTTTCAATATAATTTTGTTATTATTCACGTTTTTTTTCTATTCCAAATACTGTTAAAAGTGTAACCGTTTTATGAGTCGTAAGACTCAATTTCATATGAATAAAATGTGCTAAGTCATATAAGATGGGAATACCGTTGGGCAGGAGAATTATTTTGGATTTAGACTTAAAATGAAGGGGGGGGGCTTTGGGTGTAAGGTTTGACGACGAACTTTGATGTATTAACGACATTATAGAACTATGTATTTTATTTATTAAGTTGTGAAGATATAATTTAATTGTATGTATAGATAGTTATAAAAACTATAAAAAACTATAAAAAACGAACCGTAAGCAGAGATGGTCAACATTGAATACTTTTGTAAAGTACTAGATACTTCTATTGAATACATATAAATCGATTGGTGAATACTTTAGCAATTTCTATTTAATCGTATATTAAAGAGAATATATTAGAATATATAATATATTAGAATATATATTAGAATATATTAGAGAATATATAATATATTAGAATATATATTAGAATATATTAGAGAATATATAATATATTAGAATATATATTAGAATATATTAGAATATATAATATTAGTATATTAGAATATTAAATACCCCTCTGCAGTTTGTATTCTAGGAGTAGTCGAATATAATAATATTCCATATTCTTCGTCTGATAAGAATAGGAATACAGTAATTTCTCCTGGAAATGCCAAATTTCGGTTGCTGTGAATTTTTCTATGCTAGTCCTATACCTATGTAACTTATTGCTACGTCGATGCTAAGATTCGACGGAGTCGGTCAAGCGGTGTGATGCGGCACGCGACGCGAATTCCCGGAAGACAATACAAAATGGTCCATTTGGGTGTGAGTTAGATAAGAAAAATCGCGGAGCTACAAGTTACGTGGTATGTGAGCGTCGAATCGTTGCATGTGGTCTCCGAATTGCCTTCGAATCGAGTCATGTGGCCTCCGAATTGCCTTCGAATCGTGTCACGTGCCCTCCGAATTGCCTTCGTATCGTAGCAAAAAATAAAAAATAAAAATGTTAAGTCATCGTTTTTATTCTAGCATTACTATGTATTTATATTAATGTACACCGGCATGCTGCCTTTTCTTTGCCGACTGTTCCGAGTTTCTATAAAAACGAGCCACGAGGCTCGAAGAATCGCGACTTAGTACTCTCAGATTTGCTGGTTTCAAATTTCGATTTCCGAATATTTCTGGGAAAAATGACTGTACTAACAGCTGCATCTAACGTTCCGTTAGCAACTCAAGGTTGCGAGAACATGATTTGTTATGGTGTATCAGCATTATATTGACATATTACTGTTATCAACACTATCCAGTTATGAGATACGAGTGCTTACTAATAGATCAAATTAATTTAACGAGATAGATATTTCATATAAACATAATATTATATATGCATATACGTGGCAAATAACATATACAGCATATTTCTGCATATGTTTTTAAAAGATAAATATGCAAAATATATGCATTATGCAAAAAGTGCGAAATAAAATTTTCTGTAAAAATATGCATTTGCATAATCATCCGCAGTCTATTTATCGCTAACGCGATAATGAATTAGTGTAGTACAAGCAAATCACGGAGTCACATTTGTCGGTACATTTTCGTAATTCTGATGTTCCTCATCTGGGCTCCCTGATTTTTTTATATTATTTTTCAATGACATTACTACTTGTTTTTTTACTGCCTCCCCCTTCTGTTTGCGGACGATCTGATGTTTTTCCATGAAATTGTTGATTTAAACAGTCATTGTTTGCGCGATTCTAACGGGCTGTCGCTGAATATTAAAAAATGCTCAGTTATTCGCTTCACACGATCCAATTCCCTGTTTATATTCAGTTATCGAATTTCTATTTATAGTCTGAAATCAGAATCAGACATCAGTGATCTCGGTGTGATTTCCTTGTTCGACCCTACTTTTTCTACGTACATCAACAAAACGATCAGTACCGTATCCAAGACTGTTGACTTTGTTTTTAGAGCGTTTAAATCCTTTGAAAAATATTAACATTTTGAACTGCTCTATTTTGTTCTGTTGTGATTAGACCACCCCTTTCGGCTATACTGCTCAAATGTTTGGTCGCCGTGCCATCAGTATTTGACGACTGGCATAGAACGCGTCCGGCATAAATTTTTACGTCTGATTGCTCGATTGTCTGGTAGCCCAATGTCCTGCGACAATCACGACTATTCGTCAATCCTGTGTCGCTTAAATCTTACGTCACCGAAGCACAGACGATTGCAGCACGACTTTCATACACTTCGCGTGTATGGAATATTAAATGAACTTGTAGACAATCCTGAAATCAGTGCTCTCAAATCCCAGTCTCGTCCGCGTCTACAATGATAAATTGTATTCTTGTATAGGAATTTCATCGTACCCTTTACGGTCGACAAAATCATATCAGTAGTATCATTACCAATGTAAATCAATATTGCAACATACTAAATTATTTTGCCGCCTTCGGCACTTTCTGACTAAACTTCAGAGCTTTTGCTTCAAGGATTAATCAATGTTTTCGTTATTATATAATCTTGTTGAATGTTTCCCGCATACCATGTAAAATGAGAGGGGATGCTTCCGACTGCATCCAATCGAAGCATAGTCAGTTTTTCTATAGCCAGAGTGGCATAGATCGTTTTTCGTTCCTAGAAGAGGGATTTAAAAATATTCTATAACAAACGGGAAAATCCTTTGTACATAATTTTTTCTTATCCTTCAAATAATCTTCTATGCTCGCTTTACTCTACTCATGCTAACGTCTCTCTCTGATCGTTACGGTTTTTATTATCATAATTATCATTATTATCACTTCTTCACTCCTTTTTACAGAATTTTTAAATAGATATAACGAAATAGATACAACTAAATTTGCTATTATTTCAAATGGATCGATATTATTTTTATTTTTAATCAAGAACACCGAAAATGACGGTTCGAAACGGATTATTTCAAACAGCTTTTTCTCATTTCTATTTAAAATAAAGTCAGCCCAGGTCCGATTCATACGATAGATTTTCGTTGTATTTCTACGTTAAAATCTGTGTGGCACGAATCGTTACAAGCAATTCAGTATTCCCGTCGATTTCCGCGATAGCAGCCGTTGCGTACTCGGCCGCCGACATCTATCTTATCTCTGCTAGAACGGTTCGACCATTAATCCGTCGTAGATCGTTACGGTCCCGGGAGAAAAACCGGAGCGCAGCATCCGTTTGCGTGGCGAGTAATTATTCACGCGCATCGCGTTTTCGTTAGATAAAGAACCGGCAGATCGTTACGCCGGAACGTCCGTTGCTCGCTTTCCACCGAGATAACCTTTCCGATAAATTCTCGCCGTCTCGGATTCTACGCTCAACCCGTGGAGCATTTAAACCCGTTGTCGGAGACGCGGCGTCGTAAACGATAAAACATGCGCGCTCGCTGTCGTCCAGAATAGACCGAATTCGAATCTCCGAGTGGAAAAACTTGTTGCGCACGCGATGCGCACCGGCTCCGGGCGCGGACTGCCCCGTGGACACGGTGGTCCCAAGTTCCAAAAACTTAGCCAAAACATAAAAACAATCGAAATTTAATCGAACGATCGAAGGTTTTCATAGCCGTCGACCACGAATTTCGACTGATAATTTCGGAAAACAAAATGGCGGATGGGCATTACATTTTGAAAAAATGTTATGTAATTTTTAAATAACTTATTTAAACAAACATATAACATTCATATGTTGCTTATACGTCTGTCTTACGAAACTCTTCAAAACTGATATAATTTTTCTACGAAACACTTCTGAATAACGTTCATGATAGGACACCTAAAGTATTAGTTAGTATTAGTTCAAAAAAAGTGTGAAAAATTTATATAAATGTACAGTGGCTCACAGAAATGTTCATACATTTTTTAAAACGCAATAACTTTCTTAAAACTGATCTAAATGACTAAATGATAAATAATCTAAAGGAATTTTTTTTTAGATCTTAGAGAGACTAGTCTACTAGACAATGACTGAAAATTTTTTTAAAATTTTTCTGTTACTAATTTGTATAAATTAGTTCTGTAAATTTATATAAATGTACAGTGGCCCACACACAGAAATGTTCATACATTTTTTAAAACGCAATAACTTTCTTAAAACTGATCTAAATGACTAGGAATTTTTTTTAGATCTTAGAGAGACTAGTCTACTATAGACAATGACTGAAATGCTCTTTTTTTAAATTTTTCTGTTACATGGAACAACAACAAAAAATAAAGAACTCTTGTTCTTTAACTTTTCTTATCTGAGCTTATAACGAAAATTGAAGAAATGCCTTTCGTAGATCTCGGTAACTTATATGCGTGCTAAAAGTTTGAT